CCGGCCCCGCCCCCGGCCCGCGCCGCCGCCCGCGCCGCGCGCCGCCGCTGTCAATCAGGGGCGAGTCAGCCGGGCTCGGGCGGAGAGAGGAGCTGCTACGCCACAGCCCAGCGGCGGCCATTCGCGGAAAAAGAGGCAGAGCCTGTGCCAGCTACGGCCTCCTCCGAGCCACCGCGGGCGGGCGGGACCGGCCTCTCCTCCCGCCTCGCCCCCACCCCCACCCACCTCTATCCCAGTGTCTCCGAGAGGGTTTGTCCTGTTAATGCGGGATGAGCGGTACGTATTCTCCACCCCCCTCGGTCTCCTTCACCGCCTCCCTTCGTCCCTCCCTCCCCAGACCCTGCTCGCTTCCCCCTCCCCCGGGGCGGCCGAGATGCTGGAAGGGGAGGAGGAGAGGGCGGGAGGGAAGCAGGGGGAGGGAAGGAGGGCCGTGTTTTGTCTTAATGCCTGAGCTAGAACAGCCTCCTTCTGGGTGTTGCTCCGGAGCCTATGGGTCGGGTTTCAAACCACGTTTTGTGAGAGCCCCCTCCTCCCTGCCCTCCTTCTCCCCCACCCCCTGCCGCGGTGCTCGGACCGCGGGTTTCTGGAGATTGATGTTGAGGAGGAGGGAGGGTGAAGAAGGGAGGAGAGCGGATAATAATAATCGTAATAACCTGTTGTTGTGTGCTGGGTGGGGGGTTGTTGCAGATCAGAAGAAGGAGGAGGAGGAGGAGGCGGCAGCGGCGATGGCTACAGAAGGAGGGAAAACCTCTGAGCCAGAGAATAACAATAAAAAAACCAAAACCTCAGGCTCCCAGGTAAAAGCAAACGTTAAAAGAAAATTCAACACGAAGCTTGAGGGAAGACAGGGACTTGTGCCCGTTAAATACCCAGAAGTAAAGAACAGAATAAAAACGCTTATCCACTCAAAGCATCTTTCTGAGTGAGGAACTTGTATCATAAATTCATGAAGATTTCCCATAGTTGATAGTTAAACATAACGATGTTTAAAATTACATCAGGAATTCAGACTGTTAGGAAACGGTGTTCATTTTCCCAAGGGCATTTTGAGATTAGAAGAATTACAGTTTAAGAAAGTTTACCCAAAATTTTCTTTTTATTTAAACTTTATGTAGCAGGACTTGCCTCCTCATTCATATAGCTTCTACCACTTGCTTTTGTTCATATTTCCTTTTTAATTCTGCTGCCTATTGAGTGTGTTCTGATAACTTAGAGCTCTCAAAATAAATAACCCCCTCCCGACTGCTGTCTTCCACTAAATCCGCCCACTTTTTTCCCCTCCCTCTCCTTTCCCCTCCCATTTTGGGTAGGACTCTCAGCCCTCTCCTCTGGCTTTACTGGCAGCTACTTGCAGCAAAATAGGGACTCCTGGTGAAAATCAAGCAACTGGACAACAGCAGATTATTATAGACCCAAGCCAAGGGTTGGTGCAGCTTCAGAATCAACCACAGCAGCTAGAACTGGTGACAACGCAGCTCGCTGGGAACGCTTGGCAACTTGTCGCCTCCACTCCTCCTGCTTCAAAAGAAAACAGCGTTTCTCAGCCGGCGTCTAGCTCCTCCAGCTCCTCCAGCAGTAATAACGGGAGTTCCTCTCCTACAAAAACCAAATCAGGTCACCCTGCCACTCCTAGTCAGTTTCAAGTCATACAAGTACAGAATCCGAGTGGCAGCGTGCAGTACCAGGTAATCCCCCAGCTGCAGGCGGCGGAAGGTCAGCAGGTTCAAATCAACCCAGCCAGTACTTCATCTCTACAGGATTTGCAGGGTCAGATTCAGCTCATTTCTGCAGGTAATAATCAAGCTATCCTCACGGCTGCAAACAGGACAGCTTCGGGGAATATTCTTGCTCAAAACCTGGCAAATCAGACAGTTCCAGTGCAAATTAGACCCGGGGTCTCAATACCATTGCAGTTGCAAACCCTTCCTGGGACCCAGGCTCAAGTTGTAACAACCCTCCCAATTAACATTGGAGGAGTGACTTTAGCTTTGCCAGTGATTAACAACGTGACTGCGGGAGGAGGGGTTGGACAAGTTGGCCAGCCTACTACTACTGACAGCGGGACTTCCAATGGCAATCAGCTAGCGTCTCCGCCCACCACCAGCGCTGCTTCCGCCAGTGCCATGCCCGAATCACCCTCTTCCTCCACTGCCTGCACAACCACCACATCCGCATCCCTGCCAAGCAGTGACACGTTAGTGAGCTCGGCAGACACAGGCCAGTACGCGAGCACGTCAGCCAGCAGTTCTGAGCGCACCGTTGAAGAGCCACAAACGCCTGCTGCTCCTGAGTCTGAAGCCCAGAGCTCCGGTCAGCTTCAGTCCAATGGCATACAGAATGCACAGGACCAGTCCAGTTCTCTTCAGCAGGTGCAGATCGTGGGCCAGCCCATCCTGCAGCAGATCCAGATCCAGCAGCCTCAGCAGCAGATCATTCAAGCTCTCCCACCACAGTCACTTCAGCTGCAGTCAGGGCAGACCATTCAGACCATCCAGCAGCAGCCGTTGCAGAATGTTCAGCTCCAGGCGGTCAACCCGACTCAGGTGCTTATCAGGGCTCCAACCTTAACACCTTCAGGGCAAATCAGCTGGCAAACCGTCCAGGTCCAGAATATTCAGAGTCTTTCAAATTTGCAAGTTCAGAATGCTGGGCTATCCCAGCAGTTAACCATCACCCCAGTGTCTTCAAGTGGTGGCACGACTCTTGCTCAGATCGCTCCTGTGGCCGTGGCCGGGGCCCCGATAACTTTGAATACTGCCCAGCTTGCATCAGTGCCTAACCTCCAGACAGTGAGCGTTGCCAACCTGGGTGCTGCAGGCGTTCAAGTTCAGGGAGTTCCAGTCACGATCACTAGCGTTGCAGGTAAGCTGCGTCTTTCCTGTTTATCTGCTATCTGCAGGCAGTGGTAATGGAGTCACTGCTCCGGGCACCCTCCTAGACGTGATACACCTCTGAGTCGCACGAGCTCGAGACGGCGCCCAACTAAACTGGACTCTACCACCAGCAGCTACATGCAGTTACGTCTGTAGCCTCTAGCACTCAAGTTTTGTGTGTTGAGTTTGCTAAATAACTTAAATTACTTCATAAAGCATCATTTTCTGATTAGAGCTGTAATTCTAGAGATTGTGTTTGAGTACACTTGAAATCCTCAGGAAGGTGAGCTCGTCTCTTCTGGATGGGAAGTTGGTTTAACTTGGACTAGTCTGTGGTTGTGAGTGTGGACATGTTAATTCTGTGTAATCAGGCCTTTTAATTGGCCTCACTTACGTTTCAGCATTTTGTCTTTGAGATGTTTAGTGTACAGTAGTTTTAAGCTAGATACTGTTGTAGTTAAGATAGAAATTTAAGTTGCAAATTGTTTCATTAAGTTTTATGTCTATTTTTTTGCTACACTCAGGATTGTGACTTTAATGATCCTTGATGTATAAAATTTAAGGAAAAGTCTTACAGTCCTTGCGTTAATCTGAACATGTCTAGCATGAGGTTGGTGAAAAGCAATTAAAAAATGTAGGTAGTAAAATGTTTAACTAACTGTGGCCATGTTGTTTTAAGCCAGCTATAAAAGCAGTTGCTGTTTCTTATGCATATAATTAGATACATCTAAAGCACTTAAAAACCTAGTTCTGTTCAGTAGTATAATCTTTTTGAGGAGTAGTCTTTACCAACACTTGAACTTCATTGGTTCTGAATCAGTAAAAACTGGCTGTGATTTCAGTACTTTTGACTTTTGCAACTTTTGTTAACTAAAAATTGCTATTTTGGTAATTTAAGGTGAGCATGGTTGTCCTTTTTGAATGACCTTTCTTGAAATAAGGTACAGAACAGTTAAGAGAGGGGTCTTTTTTTGACAGCTGATACAGCTGATGTGAACTTGTAAAATTAAGTTGTCCACAGACACCTGTGCATTCAGGAGAACACAAATATCCCTAAGCAGCACTCCCCAGAGATGTTTGACCTGTGTCTCTGTCCTGTCCACTGTTGTCAACTAGGTACATGATGATTGAGCACATACACACGGGGGGGGGGGGGGGGGGGGGGGGGGGTAGCCTGGCTGAAAAATCTAAGCTTCGTGTAAGTAGCCACGTTTAGCAAGTGGCTCTCAGGTTGACAGTGCATATTGCCAGTAGTTTGCGTGGGGGTTCCTCTCTTGGAATTTTCAGTCCCCAAGTATGTCAGTGGTTGCTCTGTTTCCAGTCCTCGTCTGCATAGTTCCTGCTCCTTCTGAACATTAATGTTAATTCGGGTATTTCAGGATGGTGTCTGGTTTTGGTGGTTTGAATAATAGTTTGAATTGTCAAAGCAGAAATTATTTCATTTACATTTTATCTTGCCTGTTAAACATTACCGAATTGTGGTTAATAGCATTGAGTAATTTATGATCTAGATTAGAAATGGTCAGTTCCTGTGCTTTTTAATCAGTATCTGTCAATCCAGTGGTTCCCTAATACTAACTGTGAAGCTAATTCAGTATTCTGACTCCCCAACTCCTTAAATGTTGCATTATAAGCAATGTAAGACACAGCTGCTAGGAGTAAATTTGAGGGGTAGAGGTAGAATGGTAAAAGAATTTGCCTTTCAGATTTTCCAGGTGATTTTAAAATGCCATAAAGTTTGGGAATTGAGGGTCTAACCCACAGTGAACCAGAAGGCAGACTGTGGAAGCAGGTGGGTGCTGAGCCAGTTCACATGTGCCTGAGCATGTTTTGCTGGCAGATGCGCTGTTTTAGTTTCATTCTCTTCACATCCCATACCCCAGTGGCTACTGTGTGCCAAACACTCCCATTAGCTATGTTCTTTCTGTATTTTCATGGACAAAATTTTACCTCTACATAGTTCAGAAGATGTGCTTAAGTGTATAAGGAAAACTTAACTCCACACATGAAGAATTTCCTCCCACTGACACCCAGCAATTTCAGGTAGGCTGATCATAGCCTACAGAGCAGAAACAGCTGGAGAAGATGGCTCAGAGTTTAAGAGCACTGGCTGCTCATCCAGAGGTCCTGAGTTCAATTCCCAGCACCACATGGTGGCTCATAACCAGCTATAATGAGACCTGGTGCCCTCTTCTGGCATGTAGGTGTACAGACAGACAGAACAGTGTATACATAATAAATAATGAATCTTAAAAAAATAAAAATAAAAAGCAGAAATACCCTGATTTCTTTGTTAAGAGCAGTTAATTTAGGTTTAGCTGTTACCAGTTTTATCATACTACCTGATAAACAGTTACTTGACAGTGTTCTTTGAAAGTTTGGAACATTGGGCAATGTCCTAGGTTATAATGTATCCAATGAGATCGCTTTGTTTTCTTTAAGTTCTTATGTTTTTACACTTTAAATACACTAGAATTGGAACTCCAAGTACTTTCTTAGGAAGGAGAAGGCACTCGTGCCTAGATCCCCTTTATAAAGAGTCCTCGTTTAGAGTTAATACTTTGGGTTGCCATTTTCTGTTATCTCATGTTTTCCTTCCAGAATGGTGGTGTTGCATTTATGGAAAAATATTTACTGTTTGTATTCACAGATTTTAAAATGTTATTTTATCTTAATTGATGCCTAATTCATGCACATAATCATGGGGTACAATGTGAGATTTCAGTGCACTACGAAGTGTGTAAGATCAGGGTACTATGTCATTACCCCAGACATTTGTCATTTCAGGAGCATTTAAAAGTCTGTTTGCTACTCAGTTACTGTCAACCACAGCTATCCTGCCAGGCTGTAGTTGAGTGTTAGGTATTGCTCCTGTCTGAGTAACTGTATCCACTCTCCTTCCTCCCAACCATCCCCTCATTCTGGTATCCAGCGTTTCAGTCTGTACTTTCACTTCGCTTTTTCAGACAGTCCAGGTTGGCCATCAAACTCGCTAGGTCGCCAAGGCAGGCCTTGAACTGCCAATCCTCCTGACTCTGCCCGCGGTGTTGGGATTCCAGGAGGGCACCCATGCCTGATTTACAGGGCACTGGATCAAACTCAGGGTTTCATGTATGGTGGGCTATATCCCTGACCCCTCCTCCTCCTTTTCCTCCTCCTTTTTACATAACATTTTAGCTTCCACATGTAAATGAAAATATGCTCATGAAAAGTATCAGAGCCTGGAAAAATGGTTAATCACCTTTGACGGAGTAATAACTAGCTCAAGAACAAGGTTTCAATTTTTTATGGGCCAGGCTCATTTTACCTTTCCAGGAGGTGGAGGAAGTCTGTGTGTGATGTGAACAGAGAGGAAGATTGCACAAGGCAATAGAATGAACCCAGATTTTACCTTTTCAGGAAGTGGAGGAGGTCTGTCTGTGTGGTATGGACAGAAGGGGAAGAATTGTACAAGGTGGTAGAATGAACCCAGATTTTAAAGCTGGAGAGCACCACAATATTATGAAATGGCATCTTTTTTTCTTTGGTAATACATTCAGAAAAATATCTTTCTTTGCTCTGGTCTCCTGTAGAAATCCTGATTTCTAGGCTCAGCACCTAGCCTTTAATTAGAAGGAGAGGGGTCATAATTAAATATTGTACGCCCTGCATACTTTGTTTTCTTGTTGGGAAGAAGAATTTGATGGCCAACAATTGGGTTTATGAACCAGGTGTGGTTGGTTTGCATCTTTGATTTCAGCAGGTTGGCACAGGTAGGTAGAGCTCTTGAGTTCTGTTCTAACTAAATAATTGTCAGTATTCTCACAGTGCCCTCTGGTTTCCAGGAGCTACATCTCTTTATAAATGAGAGCTAGTGGAGACTGTTGGTTTTTATCTTAGTGATTAGCCTGGGAGGTCTGCTCCATCGTGCCATAGGCCATCTGCTTGATTAAGTACCTATTTGTTAGTTTCAGTAGAAATTAAATTTTTATTCCAGTTTTCCCATAAAGGCAGTTGAAACTTAGTAAGATGTTGCTAGCAATTCAAGACCTTGTTTCTTACATAATCCTTTGCTTTTAGAGGGAATTAAAGTTGAAAATCTGGGGATATAGTTTGAAGCCAGGAATGGAAGGGCCATTTCTTAATGACTGTTTAAAAATGGGAACCAGAGAACATAAAGCTTACGTTTAATTTAAAAGTCCAAATTTATCTTAGTGGGATCAACTTTTTAACATCTGCCTTTTCTTTTTAATTACTCAAAGTAGAAAATTGGCTTGACATGTAACCCAGATACCGTTTTTCTCTGTTGTATATGCGGAATTGGTGTGGATTTCCCTTTTTAAGCATCTGAAAACCACACCTGTGTTTGTGATCTTCACACCTGTGCTTCTTGATTATTTCCTTTCCTGATGAGTCAGTTATTCCTTTTACTTTTTCAATAAAGTCTTCTAACACTGGTTCAGTAGATTTAACTTCATTATAAGTTTAGGTTCTGAACTACCAGCTTGACTTTAGCCTTGAAGCTTTTTTTTTTTCTTTTTTCATGGAAGATAAAAAGTGCTTTGCGTAAAGCCACATTAGTTTTTAAAGGACATCTGTGCTAACTTGCTTTTTGTCAGCCTGACATAGGCTAGAGTGGTTTGAGAGGAGGGAACCTCAATTGAGAAGATGCCCCCATAGGTTGGGCTGTAGGCAGGCCTGTAGGGCTATTTCTTAATGGGTGATTGATGTGGTCTCCTGGGCTAGTGGTCCTGCACCCTGTAAGAAAGGCAGCTGAGCAAGCCTTAAAGAGCAAGCCAGTGAGCAGCACTCCTCAGCGGCCTCTGCATCACCCCTTGCCTTCAAGTTCCTGTTCAGTTTGAGTTCCTGCCTTGGCTTCCTCAAGGGATGGCAGCTCAAGATCTATAAGCCAAAAATCACCCTTTCCCCTCCAAGTTGTTTGGTCATGTTATTTCATCATCACAACAACGTAATCCTCACTAAGACACCATCTTTTGTGTGGAACCAAAG